ATGCGATGAGGGCTTGGTCCGGCTGGGACGAGATGATGTTCTGTTGGACAGGAGACGTAGCAAGTGCCAAGAGCAGTATTTGAAACCGCTCCAGCTGGGCGGCGTATTCGGCCTTGGAGCGATTGCCAGGATGACCGAGACAATAGGTGTCGGCCAGGAATTTGAGGGTTGCGAGTGGCAAAGATTCCCATACGCTCGAGTCGGAGTGACCTGTAGACGGGGGCGCTGGAGTAGCGTCATGTCGAGGGGTGGGGGTCTCCTTCTGGCGATTGTCGGGGCGATCCGTGTCAGGCATCCTCTGCTGTTCCAAACGTTCGGCAATCTCCTCAGCAGCTGCCGCGGCTGCTTTGGAATTTTTGGTATTGCGCACCATGTCTCCGTCGGGTACCAGGTGTGGTCGATCACAGAAGTGGCTCTAGCCCCCAGTAAGAGTTGTTGTTGGGGAAATGACTTCGAGCACACCTTTCAGGTACAATAATTTAATAATCACGACGAAGCACAGAGTCAAACAACGGTCAGGATTAAAGGCAGATATTGTCGGGTCAAGAATAAGTCAAGACAGAATGAACACCACTGATCAGTCTCGTTGCGTCGCTCCCAAACCTCCGCTGATCCTTCATCCGATAAGCTTCAGTGTGTGGGCTCTCTGGACTACCAGGTTGGTTTCCGGGGATTGTCCGCTAGATGTCACACTAGGATGTAAGTGCTCCAGCTTACTAAGTCGCGTGTGTGATCGAACCTCCATGTTAATCGCGCTGTTCCGACTTGGAAATGCAGATCTCTATTCGACGCTTTTGGAATGTACTTATGCTTTCGTGCAATACAAGTGGCAATGTTCAGATGTTCGATTAAATGGGTGGCTCGCGGAACCTCATGGAAGAATAATCGAGATTATAATTCGCATCAGTCTTGGACGGAGCCAAGAATTATGTACCGGTTTTATCACGGTCATTGAGACGAGGAAGTCATCGGCAGTGGTTCTTTTATGCAGTCTTGCGAGCTTTCTCAATGCCATAAACCGCGTTTTGATGCCAATTGCCATGGTTCCAATGACGGATGCACACCGATTATGTTTGCATTTGGATATTTGCCGAAGCCTGGCACGAATGTTTCGGTCTGCCTACAATTTATTTTCTCGAGTAGGCTTGATTCGAATCAACCTTCTGGGTTCTTTTGCAAATGATGATTGTTGTGTTTGGCATGCCCTGACAAATCTATGAATCCTATGATACCTGTGCATCTGCGTTGTTCTTCCGTTTTTGAGCCTTTTGGTTTTGATGACAGTACAGTACTAGCTGCTGAATCAAGACTGCACTCTTTGACCTCTTTTCATTTCTCAGATGCCTTTACGCAATGTCAGCGAGCTTCAATTACAATCCGTATATTCGCATGAGCCGTCTGCAACACTGCATGATCGATTGCGGGTGAATGTG